TTTGTGTTGTACGGTGTCCTCGAGTGCCCAGAGAGGCGCCTTTAAATAAAATGTATTATTATTTATTTATTATTACTTTGTGGAGAATTCTGATGTGATCATAGCATCTCTCACATTATTATGATGATAAAAGTTTTTGGAGCACATAATTGTCATGCACTGCTGTCTGCCAAAGTGTGTTTTACGATACCACCAATTGGGGGTCCCAAAGTAGAATAATTACTATAAACTTTTACACATGGTGGGTTCAGAGGTGCACTCCACTGGTTTTACACATACAGATCAGCTCACCTGTTGAAGTTAATACTACTCAGCCTGTGGAAACAGTGATATAATGTGTCCTGTGGCTCTGAAAAAGCCTACTTAAGTTTGAGGTTATCAGCTTGGGCTTCAAATTTATAATGGAAAGACTGCCAAACTGGAGATGTGGAGAGTGAAAGATATGGGGATTTACAGTACCTGTCAGGGAGGGTGTAACAAAAGACTAGGTCAGGAGGCATTACGAGGCTTATTTCTAGGGATTAGAAGTCAGGATATCTCGACTTCTGCTGCAACAAATTTGACCATTCCTTTTTAAAAAGAACAAGTCTGGTGATATTCTACATTATTTTATTGTCACAAATCCCACGAAAAGACCAAAACCAACAATTAACTGATTCAACATGTAATGTCTGTGCAGCCTGTATCTTATTCCTCTTTGCTATGGACCTCCACATTAACGAGCCAGACTGTGGCACTCGGAGTTCCTTCATTATGACAGAGTTGATCCAATGTACACCATCCTGCTGCTGTAAAGACTTACTAGGGCACCAAATCGGTGGCTGAAAATAAACCCCAACAAATGCACTATTACCTCCTGTTTGTGAAACCCCTGTTAAAAACTCAAGTGATCAGCTGTTTTCGGGAAATACTTAGCTTAAAATGAATATATATATTCATGATATGTTTTAAAGATTTATCTATTCAGTAGGGATGAATGGGCTTGTGTCTAAAAGCCATAAACGGGCTCCGGACGTCATTTAGAATGATAAAGTACAACTAATGACATACAAACATTTCACGGCGGTTTACTCACCACACTGAGCGCAGATAGGCAGCTTCTGCACTGAGTTACAGAAGTAGCAGAAAGCTCTGTTCTTCTGTTTTCTACCAGGTGACATTACAAGGAGAGAAACAGGTTTATAAACTGGTTGACCAGTGATTGTCTACTTGTATCTTTAATTTAAGAAAAAGTAGCAATACCACAGTGTACGAATGCTCTGTAACAAGTAAAAGTCCTGCATTCAATTTCTTATTTAAGTAAAAGTACATAAGTATTACCAAAAGTATTCAGTATGCAGAATGGTCCATTTTAGAGTAATATGTAACACTGGATTATAATTAGTGATTCATTGGTGTGTAAGCATCACTAATGTTACAGCTGGTAAAGGTTTCAAATCATTCATATACTGCCAGGTATCTTAATCCATAATATCTAATATTTTATTAGTTTATTCATATTTCGGAAGAATAATCTGAATCTGCAAAGTAACTAAATGTAGTGGATAAAATATACAATAATGGCATAAAATGTCACATTTGAGTAAATGTACTAAGTTAGACTCCACCTGTATTTAGCTATACTTGAATAAATGATATATGCAGTACAGTCACTTACCTCTGACATTTGTCACATTCCTACAAAACAGAAGACAACAGAGTCACAAACAAATGTAAGAGAGTATTTACTACTTCATATACTTTAAGCATTGACCTCGTACGTGAGCTACACACCATGTTAAAGTTGCAGGGGTGTTTGGCCACCTGGATATGTTCCCGGTTGGCTCGACTCTGTTTCTCTCGCTCCTTTCGACTCTCAGCCTTTTTCCGGGCACCGGTTTTCTTTTTGGGCATTTTTCTGGCTCAACGGGGGCCGGTGACCACAGAGACAACGACACGTTTCTGAGCTGCAAACACACACCAAACATTAAGTGCTGTAGCTGGTTTATTGAAGATGGCTGACTTATATGGCGCATTGTGAGGCAATAACCAAATGACCATTTGTCTGGGAGGTTGTTTTGTCAGCCGGCCAGATAGCTAGTTAATGTTCAAATCTGGCCTGTCACTCCATCGACTGCCACTGTTGTTTGTGGCTGGAGAGTGAAGAGAATCCACCAGACATGTTGACATTATTTGACCAACATTTGGCTGTTGCTAATTGTGCTAGCTAGTTTTATATGACGTTATGTGAGGAGGGTTTTATAAGCTGTCACATGGTGAGTAAATTAAATTAACTTTACTTACAGTATGTGTAGATTCTCTGTGATATTTAGTTTGTCTAGCAGTTACATTAGTTGTCCTGAATGTTACATCTAAGTGTCATTTATTGTGTGAGTTGTATTCAAAGAAAAAAAAGATCTTACCGAGATGATCAGCACACCAACTTCTTCTAGGTCCGGTCGAAAAAACGGTCCGGGCTGAAACATAGTGTCGATGTTTGTTTTTTTTGTTCCTACTTTTGTTTCCGTGTTCACTAAATACATTAAATTTTACTTCTAGGTCTCCCCAGTGTGAGTCAAAACTATTTAAATTTAATTTGCATCAACTTCATAATCATGTTTAGTCTTTTCACTAATGAGCTGGTTAATAGTTGATGAATAATTTACCAATGTTTATATATCAGTAATCATACTTTATACTATTGTTATTTTAAAGACAAAGAAAACAACTTCACTTCACAAATAATATATACACACCTTCTTTGCTTTTGCTTTGGACGCACAAATCAACAAAAACAGCATTTCATACAGGTTTGTCACATATATCGTCTCCTATAATCTGTTTATTTATTTATTTATTTATTATTTTACAAGGAAGTCCCATTGAGATCAAAAATCTCTTTTACAAGAAAGACCTGGCCAAGATAGCTGCCATACAAAATCAATCACCACATATTAAAACACAACATAATAACAATAAAACAAACTAAACAAATACAATAGAAAAACAACCACACGCCTCCCTCACCAATTAATTACATGATAATAATAATAAAAACAATAATAACAGTGCAAACCCCGTTCATTGCGGTAACTCCCAAACCCATAAGCATGTTTCCATTGGCAGAGCTTCACATGATTTATGTTTTCGGTTTCTCCACTTTGCCACGGGGCCTCAGACGCACCTTGTCCACGCCCCAGGTCACGTGCCAGCGAGCGGCGAGCCAATCCCGAGCGAGGACGGCAAACAGCTGACGGTGAACAACAACACTTTACACAGCGTCGTCTTTTCCTGCAGGTGGTGGAGTGTAGTGGACTCCCGCACGAAGCTCGCAAAACTCCTAGGACACCTAGGGAGTCTGTGAGCTGGTGTCCGGCTCTGGCTTGCTATGCACGGTTAATGCTTTAACCTGTAAAACTACAAAAAAAACTACAAAAAAAAAGGGGGGGGAGGGAAATAGAGGGACGTGGTGCGAGGAGACCCTGAGCTCGTCACCCATCCCCTTAAAAAAAAAAAAACCCACCGCAGAATGGCACCGTCCCTCATCCGAGCTTGCCGCAGTCTGGCTCTCTCGACGTGGCTGCTGTCGTTTTGTTTCGTCCACTTGCTGTGCCTGGACTTCACCGTTGCGGAGAAAGAGGAGTGGTACACTGCTTTTGTCAACATCACCTACCTGGACCCCGTCACTTCGGAGGTCAAGACGGAGAAAACCGAGTGCGGTCGGTACGGCGAGCACTCGCCCAAGAAAGAAGCCGGGGGTCCGGTCCTGGCGCCGTCCCTCCTGCAGGACAGACAGGCGTGCGACCCCAACATCAGGTTCCCTCCTGTGGCTCCCAACACCGCCTGGGTGGCGTTGGTGGCTGCGGGGAACTGTACGAACCGAGAGAAAATCCGTAACGTTGCCAACTACAACGCCTCTGCGGTTGTGATATACAACGTGGACTCCACCGGTGCCAACGACACCATAACGATGACCCATCAAGGTAAGAGACAACCTGTCCACCTCCTTACAGTCTGCTCGGTGGTGTGATGGAGGCCTGAGAGGATAAGAATCAGTTGCTTCTTAAGTGTTGGACACCTCTGGCCAAGATGAATGGTTTTCAACCCTCTTTGCTTGAAGTCCCAGAGCTGTTCTGCGTCTCTGTGATCAGCTAAATGATCAATTAGTTGTCTTGGTAAAGTAGAAAAGTGCACTGACTTCCCAAACAGATGCACTGATCCACTGCCTGTGACTGGCTGTAGGTCTCCCTGAAGCTGTTTCTCAAATGTGGGTGCAACCTGTGAAGGCTATGTCGTGATATGATGTTATAACACCTGGGTTGTACTATTTAAAAGGTCTGATATTAGTAACACCTGAGTCCAAGTGTAGATACCAACTCGATTCAGTTTTTTTATACTTTACTTTGAGTCATACGAACATGTTTCCCTCCGTTATCTTTTGGTCTATTCACAGACGAAATGTTAAATGTGTTTTCTAAACCCAAACATCAACTTTTGACGACAATCAGGAGCTGTCTGATTGAAGAATAGGTGGAGAAGATCACAAATCTGAATCGTTTGATGCTAGCTTTTGGTACTTGACATTGCTAATACATAATTAGGGGCCACAGACACATATCGATTGGTGCCAACAGTAATGAGTGTCAACACTGGGCCCCGTATACCAGAGGATGCAACCTTTACTAATGCCTTAAAACTACATATCACTGAATACAAAACTTCCCAATATTCCATGCCTAGTGAAATAAACTTTATGCATCCTTAATCATGAAAGAATGTAAAGAATAATCAACGTCTTGTGAAGAAGGTGAAGCACAAAGACAGTAGCACAGAATTTAAAATGAATTAATCAACACACTCACAAATACTGACAGTTGAGCACAATGTCAGTTTCGCCTGTGGGCTTAAGAAGAACATCAAACACAGAAAACACAAACACAAAAGCTGCTCTGTGTCGATACACAGAACACACATTTAAGAACTCAAATGTGTAAATAAACCTTGTGTAAACAACACACCTTTTGACATAATCCATACAAAATGTGCTGGAAAGACGGACCTCAGATTCACATCAGGTTCCTCTAAGGTGTCACATTCCCTTTCCCTGTTTGCCGGAGGCAGTGCAGGCTGATGCATAGATAATCGGAGGCAGAGTCATTTGTTTACTACCTGTTGGTGACAGTGTTTTGTTGTTGTGACCAGTAAGTAAGAGACGCAGGTCACGGACACAACTGTGGTCATGTTTTTATGTGTTAAACCTAGGAATCTTAGACAAAAACCAAGTTTAGTTGAACTTGAAGGCCCATAATGTCACTGGGGAGATTGAATTCTAGGGGCTGTTGAGGTAAAAGGATGCACAGTGCCGATGGCTGAGGGGCTCATTTCCACTGGGGATAGGGGAGACATGTCACCCTCACATTTAAAATCCTATTTTTGTCTCCCTCGCTGCTCTTGTTTCAGGTTGCTTTTCTTATAAAGTCACTCTGAACATTGCCGTCCGATTGTCCGTCTGATTGTGAATGCAATATGTCAGGAACACCTTGAGGGAAAGTCTTCAAAATACGCACTATTGTCCACTTGGACTCAAGGATGGACTTTATTTTTGGGCTTTTATTGCCTTTAATTGATAGTGACAGCCAACGGGGAAGCGGGGAAAAGAGAGAGGGGATGACAAAGGACCACAGGTCGATGAACTGATGGAGGCTGCAGTAAGGCTCAGCAAACCCACAGCTATCCGGGTGCCCCGAACAGATTAGATCTTGGTAGTCTAAGGGTCAAGATCAGTGTGACCTCATGTCCGTCTCGTTCTCATGAACGCAATATCAATATGTTTGTTATTCTTGACATTTTTGGCCATAACTTACACACAGTACCCCCCAGCGTCTGCCACCACTGTGTCAGACGAAAATAACCACAAACTCTGAATGACGCCTCATTGGTTTAATGATCCTGGAAGTCCAACTGTAATCAGTGTATTTTTTATGTGCTCCTCATCAGAGAAGCACACACCTCCAGAGGCTCATATACCGGTTCTGCTATGTAAAGTGATCTCCTTGCTTATATTACTACTCTCTGCTTATTTAATATATAGTTGTTTGGCCATCATGCATAGATACAGTACATTCATAGTTTTTTCTAGTTTGGTAATAGATCTATAGTTACACTAAAGTTGGAATAATCTGATTTCTACCAAGCATGTAAAACAGTTTTTTTGTTTTAGTTTAACTCTTGATGTCATCCCTTTATCCTATTTTAAGCACACTTTATTATTATTATTATTAAAATGAAATTGGACCTTTATGCCTTCTACAGTAGCTGTGAGCAGAACCGTGTTTTACACTTGACTTGTGTTTCCATTGGAAATTGACTCCGGCCACCATCCACGTGCCAGACAACAGCACAATGCATGAAGGCTGTTGGACAAAAGGATCTGTACAGAAACAGATGTTCAAACAAAGAGTGTAAAACACCTGATGACATAATGGTCAACTGATTGTGAGACGTTTTTAACCAAAAGGTCCACCAACGTGTCAAAGTGTCACAGGCATTTTTCATAATAAGCAAATAATTTAAATTCTATGCAAAGCCCTTAAAGCTTTTACTCCAATCCATATTTTTTTGTCTCGGAGAATCGCCCTGACAAGCTGTTAGAGTCATAAGCACAATTCTCTTCAAACAGCTGATAATTAAAAGTCCTGTGAGTAACATCTAGGAGGATCTATTGGTAGAAATGGAATATAATATTCATAGATGTGTTTTCATTAGAGTATAATCACCTGAAAATAGGAATTGATGTGTTTTTGTTACCTTAGAAACAGCCGTTGTAATCTACAGACGCTTTCCATGGAGTCCGCCACGTGGAACCATCATGTTTCTACAGTAGCCCAGAAGGTGCAAGCCAAACACTGGCTTTAGATGGCGTCTTTCGCGTGTCAAAGGTGTTTCTAGTAGTGCAATCAGCTCTACAAAGCTGTTCACTGTTTCAAGGCCAGCAAAAGTTTTGGTTCACTCTCGCCACACTCGGAAATTTTGTTTCCGCCTACAGCACACACCTGTTTTCAGCAAATACCTTCTATTACTAACCCTCTCTGCTCAGCACCGAACAGCAGAGAGACTATGTTAGCGACTAGCAGTTGGTCATAGTGGTGGATTTAGCAGCTTAAGAGCCAGATATTTCCCTCAGGAGTTAGTGGAGACCAAAGAAAAGCTTAAGAGAGAGTGAATGTCGGACTTGGCATTCATCAGGTGGCCAGATGCACTACTTTGCATGAATGCTAATGTTTTTCCTGGTATTCTACCTTACATGTTTAGCTCAAGAACATGAGGTGATAATATGTACAATATGATGTAGGTCAGTGTTGTGTGGCCCCAATATGGTTAACAAAGTCAAGTTACGAAGGTTGAAATGCAGTTTGCACCTTTTTGCAAGCCTTTCACTTACAATAGAATATTTTCCATTGATCTCTTCCCATATTTACTCGAGTAAGGGGTCTGCCAGCATGTCTGTTGTACAGTATTTGACCATTAACATCCTCTGTTCCTCCTCTGTTCTTGGAGTAGTGTCCAGTGCACATCACTAGGTTACCTGCAGCAAAACATGAAAGGCGCCAGGCTATTTTGAAGACTTGACCTGCTTTGAACCATGACATAAATATAAACTGAGATACTTGAAGAGACAGAAGTGGCAGCCAGGAGAGATGTGATGACAAAGCTTGTAGAGAAGAGGAAGGTAACAGAGTACAGTGACAAAGGAACAGGTCTTAATGGGTTTGACTGAATGTGAGGCTGCTAAAAGAAAGAATGGAGCACTTTCCTGTCCAGAGCCAACACAGCCGGGCTGTAAAATCCACAGTTGCTAGAAACCTCTCATGGCCTGTCTTCATCATTTAAGGCTGAGTGGTGTCAAAGTCATGCTGGGTCATAAAGCCAGGTCACAAACTGAAGGTTTATCAACTCGTAAAACCAGTGTGTCATTTTTACACTTTAGTTTTTTGTGTGTATATAAATCATAGATGTAACATGTTAGTTAATGTTTTAGTTACCATTAGACAGAACCAGGCTAGCTGTTTCCCCTTGTTTCCAGTCTTTATGCTAAGCTATGCTACCCAACTGCTGCTGCAGCTTCATATTTATCATACAGATATGAGATGAGGGTGGTGCGATAATGTTAAAATTTATCCGACTGGCCACCGTCAGTCCAACAACCGGCAACTGTCGTGGAAATTCAAGTTTCTGTCTTTCACCAAACTAACTCATTTCAAAACAGACTTTATTCAAACTCGAGAGAAACAAATGAAACTCACCAAACTATCTTCATTTGTCTTTCCACTGTTCTGGCAATCACCAACTCTGGTTTCAAACGCCATCTAAAACCGAGTTAGATGTGAAAATGTTCTGGCTCTACAGCTGTTTTTCCTCTCACTCATTCTTCAGTGTGTGTATTGCGTACCTGAACAGCGGCTACTGTTCTTTGGAGGCAGACCATAAAATTAGCAAAACTGGGCCAAAAAGCTGATATATCGTCCAACTGCCCAACCCTATCTCTGGTAACAACCTTCTCATTTAACTCTTGCCAAGAAAATGAATAAACGAGTTTCCCAAAATGTCAAACTGTTCCTTCAGTCAGCGACTCTTCAGTTTATACTTGCATTAGGCCACGGTGTAGCCTACTTTGTTGAACTGGTAAAAGTGTACCAGTTAATTCTGTAGTAATCTGTGCTTCAGTGTTATCCACTCAGACCAGAAGCCTGCTAATGAAATGAACAAGGTGGTGTCCACTAACTTAACCCATTCAGTATTTATTCCTTTATTCCTTATTCCACATCTTTTCACAAGTTCAGCCTCAGTCTCTGACATTGCCCTCCTGTTTTAGAAGCAGCTATTTTTGTCCGCTCTGACTGCGTCACAGTGAACAGAAGACAGAGATAAGAGTCAAGGCTTAGGGAAATCTTAAATGCCTTGTTATTCCTTTCCTTATTTCTGCTGGTTATGAGGCTGAAGCGTGCCATACACAGGCATTTTTTCAAACTCTCCAGAGTCTGAACATCATTTGCCTTTTGACATGGGATAACGTGGTTTATCTTGTGTTTACAAAGGCAGTTGTTACGTCACAGTGATTTGCCCTGCACACCATATGGCCATATAAAACCAGAACAGGAGTGTGTGTATCTGTACGCATATTAAAAAAAGAGGTTTACAAAACAGCGAACATACATACACTTGTGTTGTGAGAGAGTCTTGAGAATTAACTTGTGTTATTAGGGAAGACAGATTATATATTTCCCCTATTTTAAAACATTAATTTTAGAAATTCTCAAAATGAAAACAATGTTATGCCAGTGAGAAAAACAGAGTCTCTGTAGGACGAAATTTAAATAAAGAAGTGTGTCTGCTTGTGAGAGTCTGAATAGACATTGTGGTTCAGCAGTATATTACCATCTGTTTGCTGTCCAAACACAAGCTTTTGTTTTCTCTGTCATTGTTTGTAGCAGCGTTTGCTTTAGAAGCTCTAACATACATAAACTCATTTTGAGGGAGCAGCCATCGTAAAACAAGAATAAACCTTTGTGTTTACAGTGGTGATATTGCCAAGTGAATTACTGTGTAGGTGTGGGTAGGTAGGGATCTGGCTGTTTTGGCAGAGGATGGTACACATTAAGTGTTTTGTACCCATCTGTATCATACCCATTACAACTTGTTAATTTAAGCATTTGTTTAATTGTTTAAAATGAATTTACTTCTTCTGATAAAAATTTAAAAAATCATATTCTATTCCTTCAATAATTTAAGCTTTTAACCAAGACTCATAGATACTTGTGTTGATTCTTGCATATGCATGAAATAATACTGTTTCAAAGACTTTTTGGTCTTATTTCTCAACCCTGGTCATATAAAATGTAGCAGCTGTGCAGATTTAACAACAAACCTGTTACATAAAGGGATTAATGAGCATGGCAGCAATAATGCATTGCAGCTACATCCGGAAAATGTGACATATCTGTGGTATGAAAAGCCTTCAACTCCTCTGAAAAACACCATATTTAATTTCAGTCTTTCAGTACCGCTGCGACAGAATATAATATCAAAATAGCTCTGTGCAGATCTGTGCAGCGCATGAGGATTTGTAACGGCAATCTAACTGGCAGGCTGCACAGCGGGTGCTGTTGGTGATGGCAGGTTGAGTAAAGCCACTGTTTATGGTGACTGATAGAGGGAGTGGAGCACTACAGGGAGCCACTGTGACTCCATGCAGCCATAAACAGGCAGCAGAAGGAATATGATGTAACAGTTTCTCAGGCTGTTGATGCAGTTCCTGGAATCATCAACCTGCCACCGTACAGCTGAGAGAAGAGCTTTGTTATTCCCTTATTGTGTCTAGAAACTACTGAGTCATTTAAGCATCATGTCCCATGTGTCAGGCCCTCATCACAAACAACTTCAAATAAAATATACAGAAGAGAGCCTGAGAGATACTGGATTTTTTGGACCAGTACTTAAGTGATAAGCAAATATTAGGGGATAATATCTGCATCGGCCGGGCATCTTTACTGTTCCTCCTTGTGACTTTCTTTCAATGTTTGTGTACATCAGAGCTGAAATAATTAGCAGCATAACAGATTGATTAACAGAAAATTAATATATATACATTATTTTTATTTATTTTTTTGCTTGATAAATTTAACCCAAACATTAGATTACTAAAATAGTTGACAATTCATTTTCTGT